TTTTCATAAGTGGGGTGAGTTGGTAACCAAGAGTGGGACAATTTTTTAGATGGTGGGGCAAGTTGTTGAAAAAGTGGGGCGATTAGGTGTGGGGCGATTTGTCATGGATTCCTTCTATCATTAAAGAAAGCCATTGAAGTCCAGTCACACTGTTTGTCCGTCCATCCTTTTTGTATTGTACTGTAAAAGAACAGAGGGTTTGTATGCATGCTGTAAAAATGACACTTCTGTCCAACACAATTGAATATAAATGTAGTGTTTATATATCATGTATATAAATGTGATTTTAAGTGTTTATCGTGTTTTATTTATTTACAGCAATTTGTAGACTTTGTCGTGAAGAAGTCATCAAGGCTACAACAAATTATAATGGTCCAGTTGTTGACAAACATGAAACTGTAACTGAAGCAGAGCAGACACATTTGCAGGTAAAATTTGAGTGATAACACTACATTATTTGAAGACCCTAGGTTGTCAATAGTCAATAATTTGCCAGAATTGAAACTTAGGCGGGGTTGGTTCTTCCTTACATCATTTTATAGTTTCAAATAAAAGTCAGCAATACAGAATGAAATCATAACTTGATCTTTAACTCTTCATAGCAGAATTACATACTAAGTATCAGCAGATTATCTGAAACCATTTAGTAGAAATATATAAAGGAAACTGTTTTTTTTTTTAAATCCAAGGGGCCATTATTTCAGCAATACCATTATTTCAGCAATAAACAATGAAGTGGAATGAACTTCAAGATGATCTACAATTCATCATAGAACATTCAATGCATACAATATAGCAGCTCAATTATCAATTTCTGCAAGCGTTCCCCCAAAAAAGGCAGGAAATTTCGAAAAACTTTCCATATCTAAAGACTAGTTATTATTTCAGCAAAAATTAATGGCGTGCAAGGAAACTGTTATTATTTTAATCTATGTAACATCACATTTTTATTTAAGGAGATCAGTGTATATACAGGACATGAGGAAGAGGAAGATGTTTCTTTGGCAGGGAGAAGGAAAAGGGTTTGTATTTTGTTTCTGTTTTATATTATCCAAAATTGAAAAGGCATTTTTATGGGTATTGCCTGTATATCTGAGACAGCTACTATATACATGGCAGACTTGATATTTGGTCAATTGATAGATTACTGTTAAACTAGGCTTCACTATGATGTAATTTTCAGCATGAGCAACTAAATTAGGTTTTGGATTAAGGGTCATATCTAGATGTAGATAGCTGATATTTAAAGAGTACACAAGAATTCACTAAGAAGTAGGTCACTCTGCCTTACATTTGCAGCTATTACATTTATTGATAAGGAGTGGGACGTCACGTGTCTCATACACAAATTTTCTAATTCATGTAGTAAAATTTTAAAAAGGAATCAATGGTTCTAAAAATTATAGCTTTTGCAATTGTCCTATTTTAAATACATGTATTTGCTTCAAATGAAATTCTTGACATAAATATTAAAAATGTCTTTGTTTTATTTTTAAAGACAGTGGATTGCCTTGACAGAAATGATCAGTTTAAAAGAACGTGTGTACATGTAAGTATTCATGCAGTACCTAAAAAATAAATATATTTTCCTACTTTTTATCCTTCAAAAAATGTTACGTAGGTAGTTTAGAAATCTTTTTTTTATTCTTTTCATTTGAAGATCCAGAAAATTTGCGGGTTTTCAACAATCTGGTTTTAGACTATCCCTATTTCCTCTTTTACTTTAGATAGTTTCCTTCCCCCAACTATATCTCCCCTGACAACTTGCTTTGTAAACATTTTATTACCCCAATTTTAGCATCTTGGCTATAGAAAAAAAGGTAGGGTTGGCGACATAAACAAGGTTTGGTTGGGAAATGGTAAGCACACACATTATCCTTTTACTCATTCATCTAATGAGCTTTATTTAGTAAGCTGTTATAGAAACACATATGTATTTAACAGACTATAATAGCATGGTGTTTTCAAATAGGAAACAACATGAAACGTTAGAGTAGACAACGTACCCATATCTATTGATTTATGCAGCACCCCATATTAGAATAAAAATAATTAACAGTAAACATTGTTGAACAAATATAAGAAAAGAAAAATGCATGATATGCACAAAATTTTGGTTGATAAAGTTTTATTTGTGATCAGTAATATACTTATTTTAATACATTTCGACTTTACCGTTTATCATTTAAAATTATGATGCTTTATTTTTTCAGGATGTTGAAGAATCAAGCCAGAGTAGCACTATGAGTTCTTTGCAGACAGCAGATAGTCAAGAATCATATGCATCTGTGATGAACATTTCCAGATTAGAGAGTCTCAATACCTTCTTACATCAAGTTTATCAAACCCATTAGCAGTAGCAAGTGAAAGAACTAAAAGACGCTACATTGATAAAGCAAAAGAATGTGTGTTTGCTGTTTTGGAAACCATTGCTCCAAAAGAAAAAGATTTGCTATTGGAATCCATTATTTTTGAAAGAAATGAACAGGAGCAGCCTGCTGACGATACCCTACAGATCCTTATAAAAATCTATATCCAAGCAGAATCATGGCAATTCCAAAGACACGTGTTATCTATCATTGTACAACAAATGTCTTTTGAAGGAGCTCAGAAGGTAATTTAGTGAAGTCAATTAAAAACTAAGAACTCACCTTCTTGAATTTCTCATTTGATAATTATTAACTTATTAAAGGTCACAACAATCAACATCTTTAATAGACAAAACGGAAAATCAGAGATGACTAATTATGTTGGTGAGAGTTATTCCCTTTTGTCCATCCATAATTGTTTAGGAGTTGGAGAAAACTCAGAAACTGGAGACTATGATTGGAAATTGTTTAAACACATGTAGTGAACTCAAATAATGAAAAGAAACAAAGACAGAAATCACAAAATATAAAAATCTAGCACAGGGCACCCCAACCCTAACCCTTAACTGTGTCAAAAGCAAACATTAAAATTACATTAGTACTAGAAATATGAATATGTCAGCTGCCAATGTATATATGTATATATATATATCAAAGATGATGTGTTTGGTATCAAGTTTTGTGGTCGAAAAATAGAAACTTTATTAAGAATGTAAGACGTTTAATTTCTCATTTCACAGTTTATTCCTGGATTAACTTCTTGGAGGTTTTATGAGGCCAAACGACATGCAAACATTGAAGGACCGGGACTACTAGTGAATGTCACAGTTGAGAAAAGGGAGAAAATAAATGCCAACAGTCTCGATCATTTCATTGACTTTATCACATCAAGTCACATAATGAAAGACCTGCCATATGGTCAAAGCACTCTTAAGCTGGACTCTGGTGAAATTATCAATATACCCAATGTTATCAGAAGTCTGTCATCTAGCTCACTCATCAGCCAATATTTGCACCTATGTGAAGAAGACAATATTAGCCCTTTAGGTAAGGTTATTGTTTGTCTTCAATGATCAACACAATGAAAATGCATCAATGCAAATTACTTTTGTTTGACACAATTTTTGCCTAAATCAAATTAAGGAAGTTCACTACTAAAGTTTCAAAATAACAAGCTTTTCATAACAATAGTATATATCGATAGGAACCAAAAAAGCAAAAAAAATATATAGGTCAATGTGGTTGTTTTCGAGATATTAGCCATTGAAATTTTGGCTGGAAAATGTTCTCTCTTGATTTTTCATAGCATTATCATTGACAATTTAAAGGTCTCAAAAACTTTTGAAAAATAACAAAGATTTTATAAGACTTTTACAGATGGCTTATAATTATACATATAAAAGATTTATAAAAAGAAAAATGGGGGTCAATTGGCATTATTTTTTTTAAGGCATTCAGATGGATAAAACCAGAGGATTCCGAAAATCTGACAAAAATCTCAAAACATGACAAGTGAACATCCTTAAAGAATACATCAAAGTTATTTTATGCACTTACATTATGTACATGTAGGTTCAAAAATGACCAATTTGGCATTCATTTCAGCTTAATTTTGTGTTTATGTCCAATTCACTGAATGGAAGTTTATATCATGAATTCTTAGCCAATGACCAAATGTGGCACATTTTGTAAAAGAATCACCTCAGTCTGCATTAAATGCATGAGCAACTAGGTAGGGTTAAAATTTTATGTAACAAACAAAAACAAAACTATGTTCGAAAGATATCTGGTGCCCGCGGGCCTCGCTTTTTATCAAACACATCCTCTTTCTTAGTTTAATGGAGCATGACTTTGATGAGGTAGATGAAATTTTATGCTGATTTTCAATTATCCTTACATGAGTTTTTTCATGATAGCATGATAAGATTTCTTCATGGAAAAGAAACTTTAACCTAAAGGTACAATGTAAACATGAGTTTTGGACGAACAGACGAAAGGGCAGACATACCCTAAACTAATATGCCCCCATACTTTTGTATGCAGGGCATAAAAATAATGACATAATGACAAATCTTAACCATGCTAATGCTAGCTTTTACTGGCACGGCCATTGGTGGTCCTGAAAAGTATACTTATGAGACATGTTGCATAACGGAATCATTTATTTAAGGAATGACTGTAATATTTTTTCTGTCAATGAAGAAATAACATCAAAAATGTGGTGCACACTGAATAACCCGCGTAGCGGGTTATTTTAAAGTGTGCACCACATTTTTTATGTTATTTCGAATAGACAGAAAAAATATTACAGTCATTTCTTATAATTTAATTCTTAATTCCATTTTAAACCGGAGTAAATCATGAAAAAACGTTGATGACGTCAAGGTCACATGACAAAATTATGTCTATGAGCTGATAAACAAAACAACGTCAGCCAATCGGAAGACGCGTTACATCCAAAATTAAATTATATATATATATATGTTTTATAATCGATGTTACTTTTAAGGTGAAACATCATTTACATATATCATTAACATATAATTTTCAGGTAAGAGCACACTCTATAAAATTCTATCAGAATGTGCTGCATCAGTACGAAAAAGTGTTGAGGGCCTTGACAATTATGTAATGGAAGGATCCCGTGCATTTCAAACATTGGAGGAAATATTTATGGATGAGAATAACTTGAAAACAAAGTTGTTAGAGGCAAAACGATATCTGAAAGCAGATTTTAAGGTTTGTAATATAGACAGTATAACTTTAAAATACTCTTATTGTCAGAAAGAGCCCAAGTGACCAATCTGATAATATTGGCTCACCTTCTTAAGCTCACTTGGCTAGAATGTCCATGTGGGCTATTGCCTATTACTTGCCATCATTGGTCACCATCTGACATCTTAAATATTTAAAAAAAAAATCCAAAGCCACTGAACTGGTTGTAACCAAACTTTGAAGGAAAGATTCTTTGGGTATATAAATTATAATTTGTGAGTAACTTATACACAGGTCGTCAATCAAAATGAAAAAAATCATAGTTGCTGTTTTAAACCTAGAACATGGTTTATCTTACATTTCCAAAAGTATATATGTACATTACAGAAAAAAAGTACACTTCAAAATGACACTAGTCTAGGTAAAGAGGTACCACTGTTGAAAATTTCAGGAGATTTTAAAATTATTGCTGAAGGAGTTATTGCCCCTGATTTTTTTTTTGGGGTCAAATTTTGCAGCTATATATCTTGAAATATATGAAATGTCATTGCAAAGTTAATCAACATGCTCAGTTATTCCTGCAATTAAAATATCATAAATTATGAGATAACTGCAGTGTATTATAGGATTAAACACCTTTTTAAAGGAATTTATTTGTGTATAAATTCGACCAATTCACTCACAAACAAATAAAAGTCCGAAGGACTTTTATGATATGTTTGTGAGTGACTTGGTCCAGTTTATACACCAATAAATTACTTTAAAAAGGCGTTTAATCCTTATGATTCTTTAAAAATGGAGATAAGGAATTCATTTTCCCACACTCGTAACCTCTACCACACACAAATTGTATATTTGTGTCATTGAATTGGTCTGGCACATGAATATATTTGTTGGTAAACGCAAAAAAATGTACTCCATAAAATTTCCTATCTGATAATAAATAAACTGCAAAAATTGTTATAATCATTCAAATAAAATTGAGAATGGAAATGGGGAATGTGTCAAAGAGACAACAACCCGACCATAGAACAGACAACAGCAGAAGGTCACCAACAGGTCTTCAATGCAGCGAGAAATTCCCGCACCCGGAGGCGTCCTTCAGCTGGCCCCTAAACAAATATATATACTAGTTCAGTGATAATGAACGCCATACTAAACTCCAAATTGTACACAAGAAACTAAAATTAAAAATAATACAAGACTGACAAAGGCTAGAGGCTCCTGACTTGGGACAGGCGCAAAAATGCGGCGGGGTTAAACATGTTTATGAGATATCAACCCTCCCCCAATACCTCTAGCCAATGTAGAAAAGTAAACGCATAACAATACGCACATTAAAATTCAGTTCAAGAGAAGTCAAAATGAATGTTTTGTGTTTATAACGCGAAGTAAAAATAAATTTTGTTAACGTCGAGCCGGATTGTATTATTATTGCCGCCATCTTGTTTACATTTGTTACGAAAGGCAGTTCGGTCAACGTCGTCTATCGAAAAATAAACAACTTCAAGAACAACTATTGAAGTCCTCTCGACCAATCATATCAACGTATGCCCTAATATGTAAATCATATAAGAATTGTTTTTAAATGTTATGGCATCAATTAGATGATTTGATGTTTGCAAATTAGTTTGTTATCCTTTTTTTCTAAACCTATATTATGTCCTCTGAGCATGCACATTACATCTCATTTTGTCAATCCTGTAATTGATGCCATGAATTTTACTTTGTGGATCAATCAAGTTTGATATAATATTAAATTGCATGTATAATACAGGATTAGTCTTTGGAGTTATGGCATCTGAAAATTCTATTATATACTATTTTTACACTTTTTAAATATTATCCATTTTGTATTTTAGGTACATTTAGCCAGGCAAACCAATGTTATACAGCATTGTTTGGGATTTGCACTGAGTGTTCCAGGAATTGAATTTCAGCTTCATTGTCAGCACATTCATAGCCAGCATTGTCAAAGCTGTATAGACTTAGATGAAACATTACAGAAAGTTCTTGAAAATGCTGAGAAAAAGCAGATCGAAAATAAAGATGCTCTTATGTTTAAGGTAATTATCATAATGTTATTATACGGGCCCGTGCGACACTTGGTGTTGGACACCCCATATAGTAATTAGTTTGTCTGTCAGTCACAGTTTTCGTTGTTGTACGATAACTCAAGTTTGCTCCCATTCAAACAGGCCATTTTTCTAGTTGCATTACAATATGGAGTTTGTTTTCTATATCTAAACACAAGTGGTCTTTGACTAATATAAATGACATTTATATTCCTAACAGACTTCACAACAAACTTTTTAATCCACATGCAAAACACTCCATTTTGTTTACAATGCTTTTATCCTTAATACACAGATCAGCCAGATTCCATGTATGTTTTTTTTCAAGTTAGTCCATGAGGGTCATCCGTGTGTTTCAGACACATTCTTTTCTTAACTTAAGTTTATGATAACCTCAAGTTTTATATAGATATTTTGTCTTTTGTAACCATGGTGGGCCTCAATATTTGGTTAAACCTACGACTTCATATCTTCCTCTGTAACAAGCCAGACTAATCTCTGTGATTTAAACATAGTATGACATTGTTATAACAATACTTTTGATGTAACACTTCTCCTGTATTCATAAATTTTTAGAAAGTAACATTTTTTTTTACTTTATAGGTAGAGAAGGCTGTAAATGATATCAAAAACCTCCAAAAACACATTGTTAGATCAAAGAACCAAGAATTTGCCAGGAAGGATATAGCTGACAACATGGAAATAAATGATGTCATTATCACATCAGACTGGGCAATGAACTTTTTACCAAAACACTATCGAGAGGGACAGTTAGACAGGTTTGCCAAACGGGGCATCAACTGGCATGTGTCTGTCTCCTTGATAAAACTACAACATAGAATGCAAACTTTAACCCATCTTCACATCTTCAGCTCACAAACATCTCAAGATGCTGCAGTTACTACCGCGGTAATGACAGATGTGGTTCAGGACTTGAAGACAATCCTTCCAAATCTACAGAATGTCCACATATTTAGTGATAACGCAGGTTGTTACAAGAGTTCATTAACATTGTCAACTCTAAGACATGACATTGGGAAAGCACTGGCATCGTATAACTTTAGTGAAGCCCAGAATGGGAAAGGTAACATAACATAATCTTGATAATAAAACCCTACACCCTTGCATACAGTTTGGGCGATTCCTCGTAAGCTGTTCAATTGTATTTAATGAAGCTTTACCAAAAGGAGGTTCATAATATGTAGATGAGAATAAAGAAGTTTTATTATACCCTGAATTTGCTTGGAATATATCGGGAGGGGAAAAAAACCATGAAATTTATATGTGGACGAGTGGGGTATCGATGAAACTTTGCACAGTTGAAGAACACTACATGGGGTGTGCATGAAAGAAAAAAATAATAAAGGGAGATAATTAACTTGTAATATGTGCTTTATTATCATATTATTTACGTTCTAGTTCATATCACAATCTCAGCACTCATAATTAGTTGGATAATGTAACTTATACACAGAAACATTTGCAGTAGTACGGTTGCATTCTTATGAAATTAGGTCACTGTGACCTAGATTTGAAGCTCATAATATGTCATATTTATTAATGCAGGCAGAAATAAATTCACTATGCTTTTTTGCAGGTCCTTGTGATAGAAGAGCCGCCCATGCCAAATTTGTCATAAAAAGATTTATTAATGAAGGAAGAGACGTCACTTCTGCACTTGATATGAAAAAGGTATTATTCAAAGCATTATTTAAAAAGTGGATACACAATGAAGGAAAAGATAGTCGGAAAAACCATGTATCTACATCCTGATGATCTAAAAAAAAAACAGACAGACAAGGGTAAATTAATGTGCCATCAAACATTTGTCATGTGAGCATAAAACCAAGATATTGATATTGGGGTACCCAATGTTGGATAATTCTATAAAACTAAACATTACCTCAATGTAAAATGATTGACTTTTTGATGGAATTTTTGTGTTTGGGCCCTGAATTATGTCTATTTCAATTAGTAAAATTATTATCACATGATTATATGAAATAGTTTTTTCTTGAACATAAAAGTTATTCTGTTATTTTTTCAGGCCCTAGAGAAATTTGGACAAAAAACATACAGAGTAAGAGTAGTTGACACCGTTTTAGATCTGGATGCAGAAAAACATAAAGAGTCAATAAAGAATGTCTCCAATTTCTACAACTTTAATTTTGGAGATGATGGTTTGAGAATGTGGCAGGCATACAACATTGGTGAAGGTAATACAATATATACTGCAGCTGTGCTATTTGAGCAGTCAAATTGCATTGACTGTATATTCATATGTGATATACAGTCACTGACCGTATATCGCCTTGTTTATGACGTTAACAATGTGTTTCCGTAGAGTTTTATTTATGACGTCAATAAAACATACAGGTTCCCGGAAATTTTACGTCTTCCGCTCAAAATTAAGAAATGATGGTTTTTACCCTAAATACTTCATTATACCCCATGCAACGGGTTGCGGAGGGTATAATGTTTTTGACCCGTCAGTCCGTCCGTCAGTCCATCCGTCAGTCCGTCAGTCCTGTTTCTTGTCATCGCAACTCCTCTCAAACCACCCAACAGAATTTCACGAAACCTTTTTAGATAATAAGGACATACTATGTAGTTGTGCATATCGACAGGAAATTGCGATTCAATTTTTTTTCTAGGAGTTACGCCCATTTGAACTTATTTACTTTAATGTACTACTGCAACAGTTTGTCATCGCAACTCCTCTCAAACCACACAACAGAATTTCATGAAACCTTTTCAGATAATAAGGACATACTACGTAGATGTGCATATCGACAGGAAATTACGATTCAATTTTTTTTCCAGGAGTTACGCCCCTTTGAACTTATTAGCCCAATATACTACTGCAACCTTTTGTCATCGCAACTCCTCTCAAACCATACAACAGAATTTCATGAAACTGTAGATAATAAGGACATACTATGTAGATGTGCATATTGACAGGAAATTATGATTCAATTTTTTTTCTGATACAATTTTTTTTTCTTACACTTATTTTATTTCTCCAATGACAATGTGGGGACGTGGGGTATGTGAGAGCGCTCACTGAGGTTCTTTCCTTTAGAACAGTTATAAGAGTTGCAGTATATAAAGAATAACCATTCATTGTCTCGAAATGTCAATGCTATTTGTACTCGGCTCGAAACAGGTAGAAATGCTCGGCACAGCCTTGCTTTCTACCTGTTTCTAAGCTTTGTACAAATAACATTGATATTTCCAGACAATGTATGGTTATTCTATTTATACTAAACTTGTTTCACAATTACCAGTATGAATGACATCTACATGTATCAATTGTATCCAATAAAAAGTCTCAATTCAACAACATTTTATTTAGTTCTTACTGTATTTCAGGATGGGTTGCATAATTGCAATGATGGGATGGATACATATAACAATATAAAAATATCTGTTTGACATTTTATTAACTTGGTCAAAGTCCCATAACTCTTACAAAATTTGATAAACAACTACTTTAACAATGATCCTGTGACATTGTGAATTTTGATACAAAAAAAAGAGCTATTTGTGTTCATGAATGTCCCACAAGAGAAGAGACAAACTTTATATAATGTACATTCATTGTTTACAGGGAAATTGGTGCAGTGGGATTCCCTCAAGCCATCTAAGAATGCTGTGCAGTTAAAGGTCATCAGTGATTGGACTGACATAGCAATATCAGATTCCTATGAAGGTAAGCTTTGATATTTGGTAGTATATATTGTTATGATATGCAAGTCTAAATTCAAAACAACAGTCATACATATGATTGTGTTGGATAAAAAACGCAAGTTTTTATACATCATGCATGCAAAACAAATTTCTTGGCTGAGGGGTCTAAATACAGCACAAACAGTGAAAAAGTATATTTTAACATATTGTTATTATATATACCAGAACACACCCGCGAAATGGTAGGCATTTAGTGAGTGGTTGAAAGTATGTAAACTGTTGATAGTATGAATTTTCGTAAAATATTTTATGACTGGCTTATTTCAGGAAAGGTATCAAAAGTCTTAGCCTGCCGGTGCCGTGTTGACAGGACATGATTTTGTTTTAGACATTCCCCTCTTTTTCCAAAGTCCGTTATTGCTTGTTTTCTGTTTTTCTCTCTACTATGAACATACACATGATACATATACTAAAAATAAAAATTAATTTGCTATTTACTACTCAGATTTACTATCAATTCCTAATCTACTATCCACGGCAGTCACTGATGTAGTATCATTTAGAGACTCTTTATAAAATATATCAGCGACCGCCGTGGATAGTAAACTTGGAATTGATAGTAAATAGCAAATACATTTTTTTTTATAATATATGTATGATCATAGTATACAGAAAACCTTGAAAATAATTGTCCTGTCCCAAGTATTTTTGAAAATTATGTGCTATTTTTAAACATTTCTAAACGGAAGTATTGTTTATGACTTAAAAGTCTGTCGGATGACTGAAACAATATCCGGATGCCTTTTTTTTCGTTTTTCTCCCAAAATAACCCAAAGTGAATAATCATAATCATGGATGACAAATGCGACTATGCATGGTACCTATAGGACACAGGGGAATGATGATTAATTTATTGTGGAAGGAAGAGAAGCGACTCACAAAATGAGGTCTTCTCATTTAATAGTATAGATACTCTAAACCCCATTTTGATTCATCAAATCGTATAAAAAGTAATTTGACTAATGAACCATTTTCATCAGTTATGAAATGGAAACTACATTTTCTTTTTCATTGACGTCAACACTGATTGTCTCTGTAGGAATTCATTTCCCACATGTGATTATACAAGTTCGTTTATTAAGTAGATATTATGATAAGGCTGCTATTTTATTCTATGATATATATGTATATATTAGTAACTTTTACATTTATTTTCTGTAGATCCAGTACCAACAACAACAAAACACAGACAAAATTTGATATGCCCTTTGGAGAACTGCATCCGTGAATTTAAAAAAAAAGAAACACTAGATCAGCACATCTTGCAAGGACAATGTGAACATCAGTTAGAAAAAGAGGCATTGTCTGACAAAAGCAAAATTATATATGCTAAGAAATTATCAAATGCACCTTTGTATTGCCCAGATATGACTGCTGAAAATGTTTTTGAAGATGACAGTTTGGTCAATAGGTGTTGTGGATGGGCTTTGAAATCAAAAAAGAAGAAAACAGTTTTCAATCAAAAGCAGAAAGACTTTATGATTGAGAAATTTCAAATTGGCAAAAGAACTGGCAGTAAGGTTGATGCCAACACAGCTTCTGAAGAAATGAGGTCAGGTCACTTTGGATTTTCGAAGGACGAATTTTTAACAGGCCAACAGATTGGAAGTTATTTTTGTAGACTTGCTCAACAAGACAGAAAATCAGACAGCAATGACTACCGTGCTGCAGATGAGGAAAACAGAAGATCTAGTTTTAAAAAAGGGATCACTAAAACTATTGACATTTAATAACAAGAACTTTTGAGGGTTATGTGCTTTATTGGAAATAGATTTTTTTTTTACTTTTCTACTTCTATACTTATATATTATCATTATTTTTTAAGCTAAAAACTCGTCATCAACAACATATTAGTTTGGCCTGCACATTTTATGTGAACCGACATATCATGCATATAGGGATCACTTTTATCATGGTCGATGACGTCACACTTTTCCATTTCCAATTTCTCAGCTTCTACTGGATGGATAATTAGATATTTGGTACATGACTTTGACATAGTCACTTGCAGCCCCTTTTCAGGTTCGTTGCTTATCTACTTCCTGTTTATCGATCGACTTTGTAGTTTTTTAGGTGCTGCATAATGGATATTTCCGTTACAGTTTTCCAAGATTCTTCTTTAGGGAATACTTGGATATTTGGTACATGGCTTTAACATGATGACTTGCAATGTGTCTGCCCTTATCAGGTGTCTGCAATACCAACTTTCTGTTTTTCGAATACTTTGAAATTTTCACATAACACTGGTCATACATGTACATATGCAAAAAATTACGTAATAGTTGTAAACGGTAGGCAACACACGTCTTCCATGGAAGACTCACATCTAAGTGTAAGGTTTCTGGGTTATGCCACTGCAAATTAGTTGTCTTGGGATTGGTTTTCTCCTTAATTTGATGTGCAAGCATGTGATTATCTCATCTGCAGGTCATACCAATTAGAACACACATTTAACCCTTCTCTGTAACAGAGTTTTGCTTATTTTTCAGTAACAGGGAAACATTTGAAGAATGATGAACTTGTATGCCTTTTTGAAATTATTTTCAGATCAATCAATATATTTATGATAATATGTTAGCATTCAAGAATAGTTTGGTCACTATGGTCTACATTTTACAGGCTTACTTGACTTATACCTTGATATTTGTTTGTATAGTTAACATGATCATGATGATATGCTAAGTTTGATGTCAATAATGGAAGTTATTTTCAAATAGGTTCTTTTAGTAATTATTGTGGGATAAAGGTTACCATATGTAGCAACTACTATCCAAACAGATCTTTTTTTTAAGGAACATGAAGTATGGTTACTAATATGACTATTTTCAAATACTTATTGTATTAAGTAAGAGGATGACATTAATAATAGTATAAGACAATTTTGTAGGCGATATGAAAATATTTTGGCGGGAAACCGAACTTCTCTAGATTTTTCATCAGTTATAATGGACATTTTCATGAATCTTTAAAGTCTTATAAAATTTTAAGATAATTTATAGAATGTTCTCAAACTATCTTACTAAACTTGTTTTTATGTTTCTAACATATACATGATATAAATGAAAGATAAAGGGCTGATGAGGGGAAAAAATATATATACCATAGTTTAGATGGATAAACCCTGAGAATTTTGAATAATTTGTCCAAAATTAAAAAGTCACCATCCTTAAACTATCAGTATATGTCATTGTTATGTTATTTTCACTTTAAGGGCTGAATATGCTCGTATTTATTTGTGTTTATCATGTAGTTTAATGTGTCTGATGATCTTTTTCAAAAATTTCAAAAAATAAAAAATTGAAATTCTTGACATTTTATTTTGAATAATTTTTTTTTTTTGCCATAATTTGCCCATGGATTTTTTTTTCTCATTTTGTAATACTATCTTAGTACTACCTAGGTTTATGATACATAATACTTCATGATGCTGGCTTTTCATAGAACAATGGGTCCAAAGTTGTCATTATTTCACTTTTTCCCGAAAATTGACAAATAATGAATCAGGGTGTCATATGGCTCTGTTTCGTAAATGTATGCTAAATGTAAAAACTGAAAGTATGTGCTTAATCCAAGCAATATATATGATTGTTTTACATATTATATCTGGAAAATGTTTATTAGTTGTCTAAACTATTATTATTTAAGTCCGAAAATGTCAATATTGGGCATTTTTCTGAGATTTTGAGTGGTCAAAATCAGCCATAATGGTAACCATAGCAACCACACGCACCATCCATAAAATCTTTCCAGGTAAGTTTCTATTGAGTGGTACTAAGTATAATAACAAAGTTTTATCAAAATCTGAGACCCTGTGTGCCAGGCCTATTCAGAATTTCTTTGGTAATTACAGAGAATTGCTCTTAATACATGTATTCATTTAAACACATGACGTAACTAATAATGACTTTTTATACAACAATAATTTGATATTAGAATACTTTGAAAAATAAGTGTAAAGAAAGTTTATTTCTTGTAACTAATGCATAATTGATTGTATTACTATTCAACGTTTTTGTTCAGTTTAAATATAACTATGAATTAAATATTGAACATTGGAAAAGATTAAATATACCGTGGATTTTTATTCCATACTATACTTTGTAAAAAAGTAATTTACAATATATGAATGTATCAATGATATATCAAATCAATAGATAAGTGCTGACTTGCTATTTAACAACACAAAATTGTTACGAAAAAATATTCATCAATGTTAACTTTAAGAAGATCTCAATAAAACTTTTGAAAATGAATGACAATGTAAGGTCGTTAAAAAGGTGACAAAACCTGACAATGGTTTTAAAAGTTCCTCCATGATTGTACTGCTTGTGTTTTCTAGAAAGATGGCCTTTTCCATTCTCCAAGGTAGACTTTGACCTGAAATATACACATTTAGTCTTAGATGCATGATTTTTTTTATTAGTTGTTAGAGGCTTTGAACTAGCTGTCAGTAATATGCTGCGAGTACTCTCAGATCAGTCAGTACTTATTTTCTTTTTGTAGTTGGGATATACAAGTACCCGGCCACGTCCACCCTGTGTTTATGTTGGATGTATTTCTATTTGTATCCCTCTGATGAGTTAAGCTTTTTTCAACTGATTTTTATAGTTCGTTCTTATGTTGTACTGTTACACCACTGTCCCAGGTTAGGGGGAGGGTATGGATCCCGCTAACATGTTTAACACCGCCACATTCTGTATGTATGTGCCTGTGCCAATTCAGTGGTTGTCGTTTGTTGATGTGTTACAAATTTGTTTTTCGTTCATTTTTTGTACATAAATTAGGCCGTTAGTTTTCTCGTTTGAATTGTTTTACATTTGTGATTTAGGGGCCTTTTATAGCCGACTATGAGGTATGGGCTTTGCTCATTGTTGGAAGGCCGTACGGTGACCTATAGTTGTTAATTTCTGTGTCATTTGGTCTCTTGTGGAGAGTTGTCTCATTGGCAATCATACTACATCTTTTTTATACATATTAAAGTGAAAGATGTTTTCAGTAGCTATTCCTCAAATATACTTCTTATAAAAGTGAATTTTAAACTTGTTACCCAAATAGATGACAAATTATAATGGGTCACTGTTCAAATAACTAAATATAATTGTAATAACAATTCACACATTCCTATTCTAGGAAATAATTAGTTTTATTTGCCTTAAACATAGTTGGTATAATACTATCTCATAATCAAATTCAAAAACGTTTAAAGGTTAGATATTACAAACACTCTTTTGTACATATTACAAGGACACCTAAATTTTGGACCATGAATTGGAAGGTTTGATTTTTATTTCTTCAACTAGAAACATCTTTTAGAAGTAGTAAGTAATCAGCAATCAACTGGGCCTTTATGATTTATGGAATAGGTTTAGAAAAATATTTAAATTTTAAAAGCAATATTCGTTAATAGCATTTTATGAAAATGTTATAACTAGTCTTGGACCCTTATCCACTTCTCAATAATTGCAACAACAAAAATCGAACAATAAAGCAACCTGTATCAATTAACTTGTTTGAAACACGTACCTCCCTTATCCAAGGTACACCAATTATATTCTATTACAATATATATATATATATACACATTTGTAAATTAAAATTTCAACCATTTCACATAATTGTAACACAGCTATTCATATATCTCAAGTATAACTCATTTTATTTTATTCATAGTAAAAAAATATCTTACTGAGCGTGTTTCTTATTCTACACCCATGATATATTAAAGCGTCAGTCAAGAGGTCTATCCGTTTTCCTGGAGTCATTTCTTTTGTAATTTTTGAGAATTTTCCCATGAAGGACCATAGTCACTACAAACTCACACCACCGGTGAGACCTATGCCACTTGTTCTTCTTGGACCGCATAAAACCTGAAATAAGTGTAAAAAGTGGAAAATTTACATCCTATAATTCGTCCAATTTGGCGAAGTAGTTTTAGAAGAGACATTTTTGTAAAAGTTGATTGACATACACCATAACAATTTGTTTTATGCAGACGCTTTGTTGTTTACCTATTTCGACGTTAACGTTTACCCCCAAGTTTTATTTATTCGTGTGTGTCAGTAATTTTCTTATTGATTTCATACCAAAGTTCTTTATATATTTAATGATTAGATATTTTTAAATTGCACAGAATTGTGACTGCATCCTGAAACAGTACAAACAATAAATTAACAGATCATAGATGAAAACAAATCAATTTGCTGAACTAGTACACATTTTTGTTTAATGGCCAGCTGAAGCCCGATTCCGGGTGCGGGATTTTCTGAAGACCCATTGCTGGCCTTCGGCTGTTTTCTGCATTTTGGTTGGGTTATCTCATTGACACATTCCTCATTTTCATATATATAACCCTAATGATGTTGTGAACTGTCTTTTGCAATTCTGTGTTAGGCAATGTGGTTATACGTCAATGACAGATAATGCTCGCCTTGTCCTTTGATAGGAAGGTGTCTGGTAATAGTGTTCCTTCCATCGGGCATTATTATTAAGGAAGTTGCAGATTGCATTTGGTCTGAAGCTTTCATTTCTCTAAGATATTTATGAATTGACGGTGCGATAAAATGGGTAAAAATGTTAAAAATAGGGGAATAGTAGTAAACATTGTGTTATAATCTTAATCACTATAAAAACAAAGAAGCACAAAAAGGCATATAGGCAAAGCACATTAGAAAAAATAAAAAACAAGAATACAAAAAGTTAGCATTGCACAATAATAGGATGTATAAGTACAGAGCCACGTCATATGTATCATAGAAAAACGAAGAGACATATAGATAAGGCACATTAGCAAAAATGAAAGACAAAAATACAAATATTTAACAATAGCACAATGACAAGATGTATACCCGATTAGA